CTGTGTTAACTTAATCTGCATGCATGTACTGGTTCCTGTTTCAAAATGGGCGCTCTTGCCCACGTGGTTCCCACGCATGGGCTCGTGAAGGTTTTTGGCGGGTAAGCTGCTAACCCCGGGACCAGAAACGTTTGAAAGCTGAAATTTTAATGAAATGTTTTCTGACAGTCGTGGTGGCTAGTCTCAATTTTTTTAGCTAGAAAGAATCTGCCTAAAAAAATACAGTGCCATTTGCGAAAAAAACCTGCGAGAAACTGTGCAAAAAAAACGCATCTTCGCACCGGCTTTTGGTGTTCTGGCCAATTATCTTCACTGCTGTGCGACATTACATTGATGTTGCATTTTCTGTCCGCAAAATGTTCTCCAAATTAAAATTTTTTCCAGGATTAGCAATTGTGAATTTGATTGTGCAGCTGCTGGGAGCATTTTTATGTGAAGAGGCAGCTACACATTACAGACATCTGTCGGCACCAGCTCGTCGGTTGCACGACTATGCATTGCATAGGCTGAATGCAATTGGTCCCACTCATCCTAAAGAATTCAAGAGAGTTCTACACTCGTTTCCTGCTCTGAAACTGAAGTAAAATACCGCGATTTTTGTTTGCTTTAATTTTTAGTTGATGTCCAGAACTGTGTTTCAGCTATAAAATTCATCGAATTGCCTTCTTTCATTTGCTAAATTTTATCTGAGATCTGACAAAGTGCAGATAAAGTGTTACTTATGGAACCATATGAGCTCAAAAAAAAAACTTTCAAAATTACGTAATCGCTTCCTGAAAATTTAGCCTATAATCTCCTGAGGTCCAAGTAGTCTTAAAAGTTTTTATTGCAGGATTGAAGCTTCGATAAGGCATCAGAGCGGCCGTGTGGTCGCAGCTCAGCAGGCGCAGCGTGCCAGTACTGCTCGAAAATGTGAACAATTGCCAGCACCAGTTCCTAAACCCGCTGCTATTAAATTGAAAGTGGATTTTAGCACTTTTGGCTCAAACTAGTGCTGCATTGTTGTTTGGCATATCCAGAACAAGTAAGTTGTTACTGTTCATTTTCCAGGCATACTGTATTAATTCCTCTAGGAAAAATAATAAAAGTAGAAGTTTTTCCGTTACAGAACATTTTAAAATGGTTGACCAGCGCACCAACTGCTGGTGTGAAGATGCGTTTTTTACACAGTTCCCTGCAGGTTTTTGTCGCTAACGGTACTGATGCTTCTAGCTAAAAGAATTGAGACTGGCCACTATGGCTGTGAGAAAACATTCCCTTAAAATTTCAGCTTTCTAGCTTCTCTGATTTCTGAGTTAGCAACTTACCAGCCAAAAATTTTCACGGACCCGTGCGTGAGGAACCACGCACACCTGGGGCTGGGTTTCAACTCACTAAGCCCTATGTGGACGACGAACATCCCCTTAAAATTC